TCGCGTTAAGATCGGCATCATGAGCTGGGTACTTCCTGTTACAAAGCAACACAGGCAAGAAGGCGTTCAATCCGAGTGAAGATTCTGGGCACGGCGGGACATGGCTTCCTCCAGCGGTCCCCTCCCTCCAGAGTGGAGGACGAGGAAGGGGACAGAAATCAGACAGAAGCCATGGAGGAGGGGCCCCCGGGCCGGCGGGGGCCAGGACAGGCTGCCCCTGGGTCAGGGTGTGGGAAGGAGGCCGCCCAGCCCCAGAGCTGTCCGTGAGCGCGAAGGCCCCAGGGGAGCCCGCCGTCCGGGAGGGCAGCGGGAGCCCAGGATGCAGGAAGGCTGCCCAGCGCCCCCGGGCCCTCTGGCCCTGCTGAGGGTGGCTCCCGGGCGTTTCACGGCCCTTCCGGCTGCGCGGGGAGCCCCTTCCAACAACCCACCTTGGGGCTCTCCAGGCTCCCAGGGACGCATTTGGCCAATGGCCGGGGGATGGATTCCAAGCCCGGGCTCCGCGGTCCCGAGGGCTGGGAAGCTCCCCTGATGCAGCCAGAACGTCGGGGGGCTGCCCTGTGGGCCGCCATCACCGCCTGGGCGGCAGGCAACCATGGAGAGCTCGCTTTCCACTCCCACCAACCCCCAGGAGAAGCTGAGCCATCCTAATACGGAGGGCGTCCTGTGACAGCCAGGGACAGCCGCGCCACGGTGACGGGGGCCGCCTCGCTGGCCCCTCGGGCGCCACGAGTGGCAGCTTTCCGTGGCCCGTGTAAGTCCATTTCCCTTGATTCGGCCGGCTTTTACTAAAACCACGCTTACACAGGAGGCAAGTGGCTTAACAAAGATCGTGGCAGCTAAAACGAGCCTTCCCAGCACGCACAGACAAGCAAAAGGCAGAGCTGATGCCTTCTCTGCTCCGGAAGTCTCTTCGATTTAATTCAGGGCTGTGGCTGGAAATGCAGCTAGGCCGGATCATTTGACAGAAAGGAAGGAAGGGCTGAGGGTGGGAGGCAGGGGGGAAGAAAGAAGAGGTAAGGGAAGGGACGGCGAGGGAAGAGAGGGAGGGGAGAAGAGAGGCTGAGGACAGGGAGAGGGGGTCAGGGAGGGGGAAGGGGAGGAGGAAAAGGAGGGAGGGAGGGAAGGGGAGGAGGAAGGAGAGAAAGAAGGGGTGAGAGAAGAGAGGAAGNGGAGGGAGGGAAGGGGAGGAGGAAGGAGAGAAAGAAGGGGTGAGAGAAGAGAGGAAGGGGAGGAGGGAGGGAAGGGAGGAGGGAGGGGAGGCGGGAGGGGGAGGAGGAAAAGGAGGGAGGGAGGGAAGGGGAGGAGGAAGGAGAGAAAGAAGGGGTGAGAGAAGAGAGGAAAGGGAGGAGGGAGGGAAGGGAGGAGGGAGGGAAGGGGAGGAGGAAGGAGAGAAAGAAGGAGAGAAAGAAGGGGTGAGAGAAGAGAGGAAGGGGAGGAGGGAGGGAAGGGAGGAGGGAGGGGAGGGGGAGGGGAGGAGGGAGGGAGAGAAGTAGGAAGAACGTGGAGGTAGCATCTACACACCGTAGCTATGAACAAGCCTTTCCCTAAATGGACGTTTTGCCTACAGATCCTGGCTGCATAACGACTAACAGAGCATTTATTTATTTTTGAGAGAGAGAGAGAGACAGCGTGAGCAGGGGAGAGTCAGAGAGAGAGGGAGTCACAGACTGAAACAGGCTCCCGGCTCTGAGCTGGCAGCATAGAGCCCAACGTGGGGCTCGAACCCATGAATCACGAGATCATGACCTGAGTCAAAGCCGGACTCTTAACGGACTGAGCCACCCAGGTGCCCCTAACAAAGCATTTAAAAGCTAAGCATCCACACGGAACATGAAGACCCCTCACCACTTTTTCCCCACGACGCCTAAATTCCTAAAACAGTCAAGCCAGGCGCTCCACAAAACCTCGCTCCACCTAATGGTAATGATCCCAGGACCCCACGTTATTAGTACAGATGAGAGGCCACGTCCACAAAACTAGCTCTTCCTGCCACGTGCGTTTACCTGTGAGTATGCAAGTGTACGGATGCTGACCGTGAATGCTTGTTATTTTATCCCCAGGTGGGTTTGGTCCAAAAGGTGGGCCCTGCGAACAAGATGCCGGGCATCTGGTAAACCCCTGGAGAGCCCGGAGGTGGTCAGCCACAGATGCACACAGCAAGTCTGGGCTCCACGGGCCACGCCCCCACCTTACGACGCAAAGGAAACTGTTTTTCGATAAATCTTCTCCCCGTGCTCATGTATAGCTGATGCCTTTCTTTCCTATTTCACTGAGAACATGAAAGCTAATAGGAAAGACCAAAAAGAAAAAGAAAAAAGAAACAAGAAATTATTTTCTTTTTCCTTTTTTAAACTTTTTAATGCCTTTTTTTTTTTTTTTTTTTTGAGAGACAGAGATTGAGACACAGCGTGAGCAGGGGAGGGTCAGAGAGAGAGGGAGACACAGACTCTGAAACAGGCTCCAGGCTCTGAGCTGGCAGTCAGCACAGAGCCTGACACAGGGCTCGAACCCACGAACCGCGAGATCATGACCTGAGCCACGCTGGCGCCCCTCTTTTTCCATTTCAAGCGACCCAAACCAGTAACACAACTCTCAAAGGTGGTGCCTCTCTGAGTGCACAGGAAAACGGCGATTGCAAACTTCCCGACTATCCTGAGTGCTGGTTTGCGGGCACAGCAGCAGGCACCTTTCCCCGGAGCACAGATGCGACTTCATTCCATGCCATGCCAAAGCCATGCCAACGATTTCACTCTCCGTGTCTCCACGGGCAGGAAGAACCTTTCCCATTTCTGGCTGGCTTGTTCCAGGCAGGAAGTGTTATTGTGAAGCCCTAGGATAACCAAGTAAGCCGCTCCACTCATTCCATTTCAAAGATCCAAACCCCGAGTGCCACCCGAGTTGAGTGATTTATCCAAGGCCCTAGACACTGACGGGAAGGGAGAAGCATCTGGATTAGACCCGGTCAGGTCAGAGCTCCTACTCTTTCCGCTACGATGCTCTGCTCCCAGAAAATGGACATTCATGGTTCATTTAGTAAATATTTAGTAAGTGACCGTTAGTGCCAGGCGCCGCGCTGGGTACGGCTGGTGTGCAGGGTGGGTGACGAAGACGCACGCACTCGCTCACGGATCTCCATGTGTGGGCGGCGAGAGGCCACGCGGGACAAACCAGGAGAGGGTCATGAGGCGGGGTCCGTGTGCGGCATGAGGGGGAGGGGCAGAACCGAACTGGCACATGTCCAGCCTTCAAGAATGGCGGCAGGAGATCTCCGGCCCCAACGCAAGGGATTCGGCGAGTCTGCACCCTTCATGGGTGACGCTTAGGCTGTTCCCTGTCTGTGCACCTGCTCTGTTCAGAAGGACCCGGGGACAGCTGGTGGCTCAGGAAAGGCAGAGCACCGCCCACAAAGTCATGGGCGCATTTAGGGACCTTGACTCATTGTCAGCAAACCTATGTCCCAGGGCAGTGCTGCCATTGCTGAGCTGTGTGACTGGGGGTATAGAAGTCAGCCTCTCTGATCCTCACCCTTAGTACAGGAATAGTAGCAAGTTACAGTATGTTGGCGGGGGCGGGCAGCTCAGTCAGTTGAATGTCCACCTTCAGCTCAGGTCGTGATCTCACGGTTGGTAAGTTCGAGCCCCAGGTCGGGCTCTGTGCCTTCAGCCCAGAGCCTGCTTCGGTCCTCTGTTCCCCTTTTGCTGCCCCTCCCAGGCTTGCGCTCTCTCAGAAATAAATAAAAACATTAAAAACAATGCATGCTAAATCGTGTTACGTTTTACCATCTTTTATGACCATCTTATTCCAGACAAAAGTCGTCACGGCCACTATCTACACTGATTCACACACACTTGGTCACTGCTTTTCTCCCGTCCCTAACCCAGTGATGTGCCTTCAGCCCCAGAATCTGTTCAGAAACACAGCCTGAAGTTCAAGCTCTGACATTCTTTCATTCTTTCTGGAATGAAAGAGGAGAGAAAGGAAAGGGCAGAGAGAGAGACAGAGACAGAGAGACAGAGAGAATCCCAAGCAGGCTACATGCTCAGCGCAGAGTCTGACACTGGGCTGGATCCCAGGACCCTGGGATCATGAGCTGAGCTGAAATTCAGAGTCGGAAGCTCAACCGACCGAGCCACCCAGGCGCCCCAGCCACCAACAGTCTAAAAGTCGCGATCTTTTCGTTCTCATGGTTCTGTAAGGTTTCTACTATTGTTTCTGACTCTGACTGCTAACTGCAAACCGCAAACCCCTCAGCCTCTAGGACTATCCCTGACTCACGAAGACACAGGGCTCCAAGATTCCTCCCAGATTTTTCCTTTGCATCCCTGGATTCTCATCCCAAATCCACAGTACTTTCTATCGCTCGTAACGATGGAAAATCACAACTTGTCTGGGGCTCAGCTGACCTCCAGACCCCCAAGCAAGGCTTGCCCGGGGTTCGGCTCCCCCCGCGGCCAGTCCCTCCTGGAGGAAATGCCTCGTGCTGCACAGTACAGGAAACCACACCGAATGGTGGATGTCACCCAGCTCAGTCCCAAGTGACAGGAAAGCGTAACTGGGAGGCAGCCTGGGACTGGCAGGAGCCAGCAGTGATCGTGAGCCCGACCTTCTGCACATCTCCTCCTCTGCCCAGCGTGGGGCCCTGGGCTCCCAAACAGAAGGAGGTCCACAGGGAAAGGCAAGGGCATCTCCAGGTGAGGAGCCAAGGCCAGCCAACCTCCAGCTACTGACAAGCGTTCAGACATCTAATGACTCTGGACTAAAGACATCAAAGCTCTCAATTCTAAAAATGTGGTTTTCCCCTAAAGAACGACAGGGACGCATGTGGCGAGCTATGGTCCGCACTGGCTTACGCTGTGTGGCACGATCAGAACCTGGAAATAACAAAAACGGACGTGTTCTCGTCACGTGCCCTCCCCTCTGGCTTACCCATCCCTCGTCGCTAACGAAGGGGGCAGATTGAACGTAGTTAGTTAAAAGCGCACTTGGCCATCTGAACGTACCTCTTCCAATGTGGCGTCTGAGATCCCGAAGCCCGTCAGGTGCAGCTCGGGAAGGTTCTGCTCCAGCGCCTGGAACAGCCCTTTGAAGCAGGCTCTATCCGCCTCCCTGGGAATGCCGTAGACCAGCTCGGCCCCGCTGCTGTCTTTGAGGAAGGCTTGTGGGACGTAGGTCTGGATCAGAGATGTGGCACGAGCGACGTGCTTCAGGTCATCGGCCTCCAGAGCAGAAGGCTGGCCATCCCACAGAAGAAGGGAGAAAACGGCAAGGAACGTGAGTCCAAAAATACCAAATGTACCTCATCCGATGTCACGTCTGAAATTCCAACGCAAAGCAGCAAAATCGAGAAATGTCATTTAAGCCACAGGCATTTCGAGGACACACTGCACTTCTTTTTATTTATAATTTTTACGTTTATTTTGAGAGAGAGAGAAAGAGAGGAGGAGGGAGAATCCCAAGCAGGCTCCACACTGTCGGTGCAACACAGGGCTCGAACTCATGAACCATAAGATCATGAGCTGAGCAGAAACCAAGAGTTGGATGTTTAACCAACCGAGCCCCCCAGGTGCCCCTATACTTCTTCCTTTTTAAAAATAAATCTACGGTGGTAATTCCAGCGAGGTGAGACCCGCACGCCCATGTTGGCCATGGTCACCAGGACCATGAGGCAGGCCTGGAGAGGGCTGTACTCACGTGCGCCCCCTGCACCTGGGGACGATCTTAGCAACGGGACTACAGGATACAGGGCTGGGTCTTCTTTTTTTTTTTTTTCTTTTTTTTAGTGTTTATTTATTTTTGAGAGTGAGACGAGGCATGAGCAGGGGAGGGGCAGAGAGAGAGAGGGAGACACAGAATCTGAAGCAGGCTCCAGGCTCCAAGCTGTCAGCACAGAGCCTGACACGGGGCTTGAACCCACAAACTGTGAGATCATGGCCTGTGCTGAAGTCGAATGCTTAACCGACTGAGCCCCCCCAGGCGCCCCATAGGGCTGGTTCTTCTTAAAGGGGAGACAAGGGTCCAACCACGAAGGAAAGGAGGCACCTGGGGACAGCAAGCTACTTCACCTAAGTCAGAGAGGAAGCGGGAACCCTGACTCAGGGCCCACACCGCCTGCATCCCAGCTCCACAGCCACCTGTGCCCGGCCTCAGTCGACGGGACCTCTGAGGTGTGCCTTTTAATCTGCAGGACCCTCACTGCATGAATATAAAGCTTTAGCCCCCGAAATGGATAGTCACTTCTAGGATCTCCTGGGTGGCTCAGTGGGTTAAGCGTCCAAATTTGGTTCAGGTCATGATCTCACAGTTTGTGAGTTTGAGCCCCGCATGGGGCCCTGTGCTGACAGCTCAGAGCCTGGAGCCTGCTTCAGATTCTATGTCTCCCAGTCTCTCTCCCCCTCCCCTGCTCACTCTCTGTCTCTCTTTCGCTCTCCAAAATAAATACACATTAAAAAAATAAGAAGAAGAAAAATACTTACAGAACTTCTGGGCCATGACACTGCCTGGCCAGACCCAGCCAAACCTGTTACCAATCAGGTGCTTGTGAGCCTCACCTGATGCTTCTACCAGTGCAAATGCACTGGGGTCACAGGAGCTAACTTCTCCACTCAGCCCTGGGGGATTTCTTCTGGCATCTGGGCTGCCATACACAGAGGCTTCCGCTCAATTACTGACGCCTTCTCCAGTCCACCCATAACACGGTAAGCCCCTGTCCGGAGCCACCAGGAGACACTACCTGCAGCTCAGTCCCTCTCTTCCCTGACCGCCAGGAGCCCACAGCAGCCCCCACCCTCCAGCTCCCGAGCCCGCCGCACGTACATGCACCGAGCCCCAAGGCCCCCATGCCTTCTTTCCTACTCCAGCAGCATACGGGCGAGGCTGGACTCAGAGTCAACATTCGGTAAGTTGGTTTGAGTCCAAAGTATAAGACGGTGGCACAGAACCTGCCTCCCATGCTCCACACAGGAAGGGCCCTCCTCCCGCCTACCTGGGTCACCGTGCTTCGTACCTGCTTGGTGAGCGTCAGGCTGAGCCCCTGGCCGTAGGCCTCGGTCAGGCAGAAGGGGGGCCCGCAGCAGCGGAGCCGGCCGTGCTGGAGGAGGGCCACGCGGTCGCTGAGTGCCTCCGCCTCGTCCAGGTGGTGGGTCGTGAAGATGACCGTCCGACCTGCACCCCAAGACAGTGGCGTGGAGGCCGGCACCATGAAGGCCCCCAGGGCCCCGACACAGTTTAAGCCCATCACAAATTTTTTAATGTTATATTTTACTAATGTTTATTTCTTTTTGAGAGAGAGACACAGTGAGAGCAGGGGAGGAACAGAAAGAGAGAGAGAGAGAGATACAAAATCTGAAGCAGCTCCAGGTTCCCAGCTGTCAGCACAGAGCCCAACGCGGGGCTCGAACTCACAAACCATGAGATCATAACCTGAGCCGAAGTCTGGTGCTCAACCGACTGAGCCACCCAGGCGCCCCTCTCTATGTATATCCTAAGCAGCAAATCCTAATCTCCCCCCGGGAGGTGGGGGCTCAGGTCAAGTCAGATGACTTTGTACTCAAAAGGGAAGAGAAAAAAGCAAAGTAGCGTTTCTGCAGACTCACAGTAACAAGACAGGTCACCCCTTCCCCACTGCTCGCTTCCAGATTAGGGCGTTTCTCTACGAGACACCCAGGGCACTGTGCCCAGGCTGTCGGGGTCACAGAAAGAGTCCCAGGTGGGAGTATCTGCGCCTCCCACGCCCTAACCTGGAAACCCGGGACTACACAGGTCCTACACGGAACCCTCAGCCCAGAGTCCCCAGCACCCCCGGGTCCCTGAGCCACCTCTGTAGCTGTGAGCAGACCCCACAGCCATCTCTTTGGGCCCTGGTTTCCTCACCCAAGGAAAGGGGGCCCACCCCACCTTACAGCTAGGACAGCTGCTCTAGTCACCTGTGATTCCACAAGAGCACACAACTCGGAGGGGTTCAATTTCCTTTTGAGAGAGAGAGAGAGAGAGGAGAAGGAGAAGAGGAGCAGAGAGAGAATCCCAAGCAGGCTCCACGCCCAGCGCGGAGCCAGACACCGGGCTCAACCCACAACCTGGGATCACAGCCTGAGGCGAAATCGAGTCGGTCGCTCAACCGACGGAGCCCCCCCGGCGCCCCGAGATGAGTACAGTTTTGATTGGAATCCCACACAACACGCGTCAATAACACCGTCACAAAGTCCGTCTGAGACGTGAGACTCAAAGGAAGCCATCCCAGGCACTGCAGAGACGGCGTGTCACAGAGGGATCTCTATCGGCTCTCGGGACGACGGTTTCTTCTGGAAAAGGTGACGTGTCCTCCTGGGGGCCGTCCCGGCTCCTCTCGGAAGCAGGCCTTCCTGCTCCTGCTCGAGGGTCCCTGGGAGACAGCACCCCCCTCCTACCTTCTCGGTACTTGAGGAGAATGTCCCAGATGCCGCGGCGGGAGCAGGGGTCCACCCCGCTGGTCGGTTCGTCCAGCACCACGGTCCCCGTCGCGCCGATGAAGGCGATGCCGATGGACAGCTTCCTCTTCATGCCTCCGGAGAGCAGGCGGGTGTGCTTGTGCCGATGCCGCGTCAAGCCCACGTCCCGCAGGGTTCTGAAACAAGAGCAGAGCCCTCACTCCTCCCCCTCAAGGCCTCACAGCTCTGCTTCGGACGGCACCCCATTAACGACGACAAACGAGGACATGGAGAAGGCCCAGAAGCCACCCGCACCCCCAGCCTCCGGGGAAATCACGCCCGATGGGCCCCGTGCGAGGGCTGCCCAGCAGGCCCCGCCAAGTACTGTCTTTGGAAAATACTCGTCTCCTCTCTGGACAAGGTGTCTCCTCATGTCACCCATCGCGGGGCCGGCATTTCCACCAGAGCATGGGCTACGGGGGTCAGACGGAGCAAAGCGGAGGCCCAGCTCCATCGCACACCACAGGGTGGTCTGGGGAAGGCCTCAGAGTCGGGCCCCCCGCCCCCCGTTGGTATCCACCCTCCCCCCTGACTCAGGAATCGGGAAGTTCCCAAGAAAAGCCACAAGCAAAGTAGGAACTGTCAGGTCCATTCGTGGGAGAGTCAGCCATCGACTCCCTCCCTCAGGGCCCCAGATCCCGGACGCCCGGTGCAAGGGCAGCCTCCCCCTGTGAAGCTTCCCCTCCTTCTGTGGTTTCCTCTTTCCCTCTCTGCCGTGGCCCCCTGTTAGCTCGGCAGATACTCACCCCCCACACCTTCTTCCATTCTATTTGTTGTTCCCCAAGCCTGGCCCCCATCCCAAGGACCCCTCCCCGCTGAGCTGTGAGCATCCTTCTCACTCCCGCTTGCCAGCACGCAGTCGACAGGACGCTGGGCGCCAGAGCATCACAAGGTTTCCACACAGTTGAGTAAGAACCATCTGGTTCCAGAAAGTTCCAGAAGCCTAAGCAAAGAGACTTGGGTGAAACCCCAAGGACTTGCTTGCTGGATCCTTACATAAATGTGTCCTGTCCGTGTCACTATTTATAAACTTTCCATCCTGGGGGCGCCTGGGTGGCTTAGTTGGTTAAGTGTCAGACTTCGGCTCAGGTCATGATTTCACGGTTCATGGGTTCCAGCCCCACATCGGGCTCTGTGCTGACAGCTCAGAGCCTGGAGCCGGCTTCAGATTCTGTCTCTCTCTCTCTCTGACCCTCCCCTGCTCGCTCGCTCTCTCTCTCTCTCTCTCACAGAAATAAATAAAAACATTAAAAAATTTTTTATAAACTTTCCATCCTGGCCCAGAAAGAGCTCATGTATCTCCCCAGGGCAGGATACACTTTATGTTTAGAGCAAACGTCACAGCATTTTCCGCTAATAACTGTCATGACCCTCCATCACCAATTAGACGTGGCCCACCCACATGGCCCCACCTGGGTGATTCCAATACAGCGGAGAAGGTGACTCTGTTAAACCCAACTCAGGCACATTGACCAGAGATCAATTGAGATCAATTGGCTCAGAAAACAAATAGAAAACAGAGCCAGTAAGATGTCAAATGTCCCCAGGCAGGTCTTCTGAGGAACGTTTTTTCCATTAAACCTCAAACCCCTCCATCATCTTGACCTGAACCTGATTCCCATCCACTCATAGCCAGTTGCACCCGGGACCTCGTCGTTTCCGGAATGCACAGCCCTCCGGAGGTCGATGCCCCACATCCCCTCTGTCCACCATGTCCTTTTTCCCAGCTAGTCTCAGCCTCCATTGGTCACCCACCCCCACACCCTTCAGCTGCCCACTGTCCCCATGCACACGTGTGGCCCTCCCTCCCTCCAAAAGGGATGTCCCCTTGGGACACCTGGGTGCCTCCATCAGTTGAGTGTCATTGGCTCAGGTCATTATCCCAGGTTTGTGGGTTCAAGCCCCACATCAGGCTCTGTGCTAACAGTATGGAGCCTGCTTGAGATTCTTCCTTTCTCTCTCTCCCCTCCCACCCCCCCAAAATAAATAAATAAACATTAAACATTTTAACTGTAGAGTTCATGTGCTGTGCTCACCCTCCCACAGACCTTCAGGAGGAAGGTCACATTCCTAAATTGCTCAGGTCAAGGTCACCAGTGACCTCCACACCCAAAATCCACAGGTCGCCCCTCAGCCTTGGTTGGACCCGACTCTCAACAGCATCTGAAGCACTTGCCACGCCCGTCCTTAGTGCACTTGTCTTCTCCCCAGCCTGTCTCTCCGTCTCGTCCCCTGGCTGGTCCTGCTCTCTCATCCACTGTCTCCACACTGTGCCCACTGCCACCTGCCCAGCACCCGGTCCTTTGCCCTCCCTTGTCTGCCTGCACGCAGGACCTTGACGACCTCATCACCCTCCAATACCTGGAGCCCCACGGTGCACCCCGGAACTCCAAGGGCCAATGGAACCCCGTAGCGACATCTCCCCGACTGAAGTCCCGATAAAGTTCCTCTTCCGACGTGTGGTTTAATGGGCGCATGCCCACTGAGGCTCGTTCCACCGGGTTCAGACTCCACCTGCCCCCCCCAACCTGAATACGGGCATCAGAGAAGGAGCAGGTCTCCAGAGGGGTTTGATGTGCCCCCCACACACATGGCCACCGTGGTCCGGTTGACGTCGGCCCAGGCACTGACCCTCCCAGATGTGGGGAAGTGGAGGCATGAGGGACCATCCGCCTCCAGAGACGCAGCACGCAGACGTTGTCCAAATGGCGTTCAATGCGTCCATCAGGGTAACGGCGGCTGGATTTCACCTGCCGCTCGGCAGGCAGAGCCTGGGCCCCGAGGGATTCCCGCCGCCACCACGTTCTGGGCTCGTGGTCTTGTTCCTGGTCCTGCTTTACCGTGTCTGGTCGCCACCGCCGCCTGGCCACCCGATGCCACCCCGCCTGACCACCCCACCCCCAAGCCTGACCGCCCACCACCCCCGCCTGGCCACCCGATGCCACCCCACCTGACCACCCCACCCGCAAGCCTGACCGCCCACCACCCCCACCTGACCGCCCGCCCCCTGCCTGCCCAACTACCCGGTGCCCAATCACCTGCCTGCCCTCCATCACCCCGAGAGCGCACACTGAAGCCCCCGCCCCCTGCATGCACTGCCGTCACATCCCCTCAGGCCCTGGAATCTCCTAACGGGCGTCTGAGATGCAACACCAGAAACGTGCCCGTGAACCCCCTTCCCCCACAGCAAACGTCTGCTCCCCAGAGACCTGCGCCCCAGACTGTGCAGCGCAGCGGCCGGCCCGAGGGAGACGCAGAAGGGTCCCTGCATCCAAGCCCCGGGTCCAGTGTGGCTTCCCCGGCCCTGAGCCTCAGCCCCCTCCCTGACTCCGGGAAAGACCGCATAGCAAGCTGCCCGCGTGCGGCCACAGCACTGCCCGGCACAGAAGGTGATACACATGGGGCCGCCGTGGCTCTGGTGTCAGACACGTCCGGCCCCTCCAACGCACGCCTCCGAGACACGCTCATGCCTTCTCTACCCCCTTCCCACATCCACCCTCTCCCTTCCCAGGAACAAGGCCACATTCCACCTGCCTGAGCAGAGGCTGGGAGTGTCGTGACTGTCCCCTCCTCTCTCACCTCACATTTGCTCAGAACCCCTCCTGCCATCTCACCGCCCGTGACCTCTGCTGGCTTCATCTGCTCTCCTGGCCCCAACTCCCCTCCTGAACTAGGCCAGCTGGCCTCGTCCCGCTCTTGATTTCAGCTCAAGTCCTGATCTTGCGGTTCATGAGATCGAGCCCTGCATTGGGCTCTGCACTGACCATGTAGACCCTGCTTGGGATTCTCTCTCTCCCTCTCTCTGCCCCTCCCCCACTCTCTCTCGCTCTCTCCCAAAATAAATAAATAAACTTTAGTTTCCACGCAGCTGCTGTCCGGGCTCCCACCTGACACACCGCTCTGATTTCCAGCCAGGGACCTCTGGAGACTGGTCCATGGAGACTCTCCTCTGCCTCGCAGGCCCACCCGGCCCTCCCCCTTCCCACCATGCCCCGGGGGCGTGTTCTCCACCCTGGGGCTTCGCTGTCACCACCACCACCTGAAAATGCATTCAGCCTTTCCTGGACTCATCCCCTCCCCACCTTGGACACCCAGCTGGTCCACACAGCCTGCTCCTTCTGACTCTGTACAGACTTCAGATCTGGGATGTCCTCTTCCTGCCCCACCGGCTTGGCCACCCCTCGGACTGTCACAGCCTCTAGCTCAAAGTGGCCTCTGTCCCCGGGCTGCCCCAGGGCTGTGCTCCCTGCCCCTGGGCCACAGGACAGGACTTCCCGGGCACCCTCCCCTGGCCGTGCGCACCTGCTTGCGTGAAGGAGTCCGACCCCCTTTGGCAGGACCAGCTAGGGCCCTGGAGCCAGTTCTCAGCCCACCCTCCATTCTTTCACTTCAGGACACCCACCTGGCCCGGCGCTCCAGACACAAACCTTCCACGCTCCCATGTGGGCTCACCTATCTCCAAGGCCAAGTCCAGTTCAGAGTCTCCCCTGAGAAGCCTCTGGGATTCCCAGGACTGGCGGCTGTGACCTGGCTCCACAGTTAAGGATGTTTGCTAGCTTTCCTCTCCTCACAAGGAAAGACACCAAAGGTATTTTTAAAGCATCTCTTTGTCCCCCCGTCACCACCAAAGACAGGGCTGTGCTAACCTATCGACTTGCTGGTGCAGCTCCTTCCGGGACCAGTGTGGCGCCTTAATGGAAGCGAAGAGGACCAGGTGCTCCAGGACAGTGAGGTTGTCAAACAGCACGTCTCGCTGCGGACACACCCCGAGCTCCCTCCGGATGGCAGACAGGTCTGTCTGCAGGCTCTTGCCGTTGATGGTGATGGTGCCGGAAGTGGGCGGGTGGAGCCCCGTCAGCATGGATCTGCCGGAGAGAACAAATCAGCAGAGGACCCGGGAGCCCGCGGCCCAGAGGGATGTGGGGCGACCATCCCCGGACCTGCTCTGGACACAGTCATTTACGAGCCGGGAGGAGCTCAGCGGACACTGGCCGGCTGAACCTTGGAGAAGTGGGCTTCTGCTCATGTTTCCACGCCCCTAAACATGCTAATTACAACGTTCTAGAAGCACGTAGGCCAAAGGTGATAAATCCCACTTTGTTTTCCAGACGTGGAAACTGGCCAAGGGGATGCGTATTTACTCAAGTCCCCGTGAGTAGAAACAAGCCAAGAGAACACAAGCCTGGACACTCAGCGTTATGGCCGGGACTCCTGGCTTCTCTCGGGTGCATGTCCACATCACATCAGGACTTTCGCCTGCTGCTTTATCTCAGGAAGCTTATTACTGAGATTTTAGACTGGTTTTACGTTTCTAAGAAATGATACAGGGGTGCCTGGGTGGTGCAGTCGGCTAAGCGTCTGACTCCTAAGCTCAGCTCGGGTCATGATCACACGGTTTGTGAGTTCGCGCCCCATGTTGGGCTCTGTGCTGAAAGCTAGGAACCTGCTCGGAATTCTCTCTCCCTCCTCTCTCTGCCCCTCCCCTGCACGCTCTTGCAAAATAAATAAATAAACTTAAAAAAAAGAAATGAAAAGAAAAAAGGTTACTCCCAAAGCACAATGTGGAACGCTGGCTTTCTGAGTCATTCTCCGCAGAATGCCTACTTTTCCACTCTGAAAACCCTACAAGAGTGCTCAGTGGGCTCTCCGGCTCCATTTCACAAAATAGGAAAACTTTCCTTTGTTTCTCTCTATTTTTGTTTGAGATGTCTGAAGCCTTCTACATGTTTGCCAGGTTTCTTAAGAAGTTCAAAGCAAATAATACTTTTTTTTTTTTAATGTTTTATTTATTTCTAGGAGAGAGAGAGAGAGAGAGAGAGAGACAGCGTGAGCAGGGGAGAGTCAGAGAAAGAGAGTCATAGACTGAAACAGGCTCCGTGCTCTGAGCTGGCAGTCAGCACAGAGCCCGACGTGGAGCTCGAACCCACGAACCGCGAGATCATGACCCAAGTGAAAGTCGGACGCTTAACCGACTAAGCCACCCAGGAGCCCCAAAAGCAAATAATACTTTTATGTTTAACTAAGCACACGTTAGTAGTACAAAAACAGAACCGAGAGAAATGGGCTTATCCTGGGAGGAGTTTGACCACGTTGGGGCTTTTACCCGGAAGAGCCCTGTTTCTGTAGACAGCTCAAGGCTACTGCGTGAACCCTACACTTTTGAGCACCTTTTTCCTATGGGATCGCATGATTTGATTCTTTAATCAAACCTGGAGCCAGGGGCCCCTGGGTGGCTCAGCTGGTTAAGCATCCAACTTCGGCTCAGGTCATGATCTCACGGCTCGTGGGTTCAAGCCCCAGGTCAGGCTCTGTGCTGACAGCTCGGAGCCTGGTGCCCACTTCGGATTCTGTGTCTCCCTCTCTCTCTGCTCCTCCTCTGCTCACGTTCTGTCTCTCTGTCTCTCTCTCTCAAAAATAAATAAATAAATATTTAAACATTAAAAAAAAATCCTGGAGCCATTGGACCCCAAAGCAAACACCAAGCCTTCACAGAAAAAGCCCAAACACAAAAAGCAGAACATGACCAAAGAAATACTCAGGTGGCTAAAACATTTACATCGTTTCAAATTTCATCTTCCCGTAGCGAGGGGTAGCGACGGGAAGATGGAAGGAGTCGTACGGCGCAGGCCGCTGAAGACCAAAGTAAAACCACAGTCAATGCGTTATTTGTAGGGAATAAAGGAATGAGCGGTAAAACCCCGTCTCCCCCCAGCCACGAGCGGCTGCTGCGGACCCCCCACGTAACTGCCCCCGTCCAGAGGGCACAGAGGCTCTGTCTCAAATCCAAAAGGAAGAAAAAAAATCTAAGCCTCATAAACGGACATGTTTTAGAATCAAGCCCGCGTCTGACGAGGGTGAAAGGACACGCACATGACCGTGGTCTTCCCGGCACCGTTGGTCCCCAGCAGAGCAGTGATCTGGCCTCTGTGGAAGGTGAGGGTCAGGTCGCGGACGGCCGCCTTGTGGCGCTCGTATTCCTTGGTCACAGACACCAGGGCGACGCCCGGGGGGCCCCTTGCTGGCCTCCCCTCCCCGTTCTGTAGCGAGGACCCTGAGAAGAAGAGGCAGAGTCAGCCTGGAGCACTCCCGGGGGTGCTCACACTCACCAGTCCAGTCGTCTGCCGCGGATTCGAGTCAGAGCCCCGTGCAGCACACACGGCAACTCGAACCTCACCAGAACCACGAAGCCGGTTACATACGGCAGCGATTAAGTGAAATGGCTGACGACAAACGTTTGTGCCCTTATGTTACCCAGCTCGTAGGAAGAGAAATGAACACGCACGCATGCAGTGTGTACGTAGTCAGAGGGACGGTCACAGGCAGGTTACGCACCAGTGTCCACGAATGACGGTCTCCTGAGAAGGTGAGAGCCAGTAACTGTGGGGTGTGTTCCAAGTTTCCTAAAAGATTCTTATTGGACTTATGTGGTCAGAAAAAAAGATTACAGGGGTGCCTGGGTGGCTCAGTCAGGTAAGTGTTCGACGTCAGCTCAGGTCATGATCTCGTGGTTTATGGGTTCAAGCCCTGCGTCGGGCTCTGTGCTGACAGCTCAGAGCCTGGAGCCTGCTTCGGATTCTGGGTCTCCCTCTCTCTCTGCCCCTCCCCTGCTCAGGCTCTCTTTCTCTCAAAAATAAATATTAAAATATTTTTTAAAAGATTACCTTACAATGTTGGCTTGTGGCATAAAATGATCGTAATGGGAACCTGCATATCTACAGACAGCCCCTGAAGTTGTGCTTCTGTGGAACGGCCGTAAGAGAAGCCCAGGCGGACAGGGGTTCTTGTGCCCCTGGCTCTTGGGAAGCACGCTCCTTGCTTGAATGGGGCAGTGATGGTGCCCCTCACAGGGCCATGACGAACAAGCTAGCATGTGTGAGATGCTTGGCAATTTCGACAGTGCACAGCCCCTGGTGGCTGTCCACCTTTGCCTTGTTTCCCACAGAAATTCGTGTTAGAACTGAAGCTTTGTAAAATGAGCAAATCAGAGAACTCTAGATGCTGGCGAGGATGTGGAGAAATGGGCACCCACCTGCACTATTGGTGGGAATGTAAACTGGTGCAGCCCCTCTGGAAAACAGTGTGGAGGTTCCTCAAAAAATGAACAATAGAACTCCCCTATGACCCAGCAATAGCACTGCTAGGAATTTACTCAAGGGATACAGGAGTGCTGATGCATAGGGGCACATGGACCCCAACGGTCATAGCAGCACTCTCAAGAATAGCCACAACATGGCAAGAGCCTAAGTGTCCATCAACGGACGAATGGATCAAGAAGATGTGGTTTATCTATACGATGGAATACTACGTGGCAATGAGAAAGAATGAAATCTGGCCATTTGCAGCAACATGGATGGACCTTGAGGGTGTTATGCTGAGTGAAATAAGTCAGGCAGAGAGGGACAGATACCATATGTTTGCACGTATAGGAGGATTAGGAGGACCATGGGGGAGAAGAAGGGGGGAAATAGTGGGGGAGGGGGAGAGAGGCAAACCATGAGAGACTCTTGAATGCTGAGAACATACTGAGGACTCATGGGTGTGGGGGGAGAGGGGGGAGATGGGCATGGAGAAGGGCATTTGTGGGGATGAGCACTGGGTGTTATATGGAAACCAACTTGACAATAAACTATTTTCAAAAAAAAATTAAATATGTAGATATATCTAAGAAAAATTTATCCAGTCTGTGGTTGGACATTTAGGTCGTTTCCAGTTTGGGACTATTATGAATAAAGCTGATATGACATAAGCATTTGGCGGGGGATATATACCTAAGAGTTCAATTTCTGTGTTACAGGGTATGCATATGTGAACATGTGTAAATTTTTTACTAATGCTGAACATTAGTAAATTTTTCCAAGTACATTTCAAAAAAAAAAAAAAAAGAACTGAAGCTTTGTTTTGCAGACAGAGAATGCAGGCACAAATGTGCCCAGTGCACAGAGAGCTACAAACTACAGGCACATCAACACTTGGGGATTCTGGCCCCCAACGCAAACATCATCAAGGGATTCTTTCTTGTGATGTTGCCCCGAGCTGTGTTTCTGAGCCTGAGGCCGACCCCCAAAAGCTAAGGAAGGTGCACAAACTTCCGGAGGCTCGACTGGGATGGAAAACAGAAACAAAACAGACCAGAAGGAAAGATGCACGTCTAATACTGCAACTCTTTACACACCTTTATTGTCCAAGTTGTCACTGGAGAAGGACCCATTAGAAACAGGAGCACGTGGTCTTTTTGCCACGAAACCGCACAAGTTCCTCCAATACGACGCAGTGAAGGGAAAATACCACGGTTTCCTCAATCCGAAAGTTCCTAAAAAACAAGGCACAATTAAAGTCAGGTTTTTCTACTTGGAAGATTCTGGAAGAGATTGTCATAACTAATTACTATAAAATGTTATTCCACATTAACATTTTAAATGCACACCCCATAGAGGACACGGTGACAACAAGGGGGTTAGGGTATTAGCTATGCGGGGAGCCTGGACTGCCCCTCCCCAGCCTGACCCACGGCCAGCTGCTGGTCCCCTGCACCGCCACCTCCCCCAGGAAGCCCTCTGAGCAGGCATTCAGTGAACAGGCAGGTATTCATTAAAGATAAAAGTAAAGACACACAACTGGTAAATATTGCCCAGAGTAAACCCCGCCCCAGCCCCACTGCCCTTCTGTTCAGCTGTCACTCCTCTGTAATCTTTGATGTTTCCATAGTTCCCAGGCACGAATTCACAGCATTAAAAGCATTAATCCATTAAAACATCCACAAAGAATATGTATTGCTAGCATTTCCACAGGAAACGTCGACATTCTTCAGACATATGCTCCAAATTCATCGCAGCCCACTTAATAGCCACTTGGCCTTCATTATGCATTGAAATGAAAGTGGATTTAATTATTAACGCCTCTCAATTTTCCTTAACACATCCATTCCAGCTGAAGTTCAATGTGTGCTCGGAATCCTGCAAGTCACTGAAGAGATAAAAGGCCTACGCGGGCAGTTTTTCACACTTTGACCCTCCAGCCAAGGACAGGCGTGTGACCGTCACCCCCATCTACCCCGAAGATTCAAAGACACGGTGGCAAAGGAGGACAGGAAAGTGAAGGTGGGTGGGGAGAGCTGGTCATCTGGTCTAGCGGTCACCATCTGCTATGGTGTGAGCTGTGTCCCCCAAAATTCACGTTGAAATCGTAGCCCCCATAAACTCAGAACAGGGCTGTACCTGGGGGAAGGCTTTCAAGAGATAGTTTGGATTTGGTGAGGTCGTGGGGTGTCCCTACAGGCAGGGATTAGAGCACAGACAGGGAGCGAGGGCAGATCAACAGGACACGGGAAGAAGAGGGGCCTCAGCCTCCAGGGTGCGACACAATGCATTTCTCACGTGCAGTCCATGTGCTCGCGTCTACCCTAGAAATCAGACACAGGATGCTCTCCAAGACCCAGCGAACTAGTAACTACTCCTAACCAGCAAGCAGACGGGCGGCTCCCGGATAATTGCCTCCTGTTCCCACCCTCTCTGTCCAGCACTGGCCAGGGTCTCCACCTGCATTCATTCCTGCGACCACCTGATATGGGGGTGCTGTTATCACCCCTCACTCCCCCGAGGGACAGGGGGCCCAGCAAGCCTTGTTGGAGGACACAGGCCACTGAGCTGCAGTGGGTGCACACCTCCCTGAACTAGGGCCGGCAGCTAGAATGTGCAAACGGGTCAGGAGAGGTGATTCACCTCCGGCACCCTAGTGTCTTCAGCTGCCTTAATGGGAATACAAGGAGCCCCACAAACGTGCGTGAACGAGAAGTTTGCAGAAATGAAAGGAGATAATGAGCCAGCAGATGCAGCCACGATTCTGCCAGGGCCGGCTACTGTCTTGCCCCAACCCCACCAGGCCCCCCACCAAGAGGCGGTCTTCTGCTGAGCGACCTCACTCCCGGCAACCGTGGGCCACTGCCCTTGACAGCGTGAGTGGGCTCCCCCTGCTGGCAGGGCGGAGAACGGAGGATCCAAACGCCTTGGGGTGTCAGAGTTCACATTAGCAGAGGTGAAGGGGCGCCTAGACGCCCGGAGGGGAGATTCAGGGACACCGAACGGTCTCCATGAGTCTCAGTGACACCTGATCTCGGGTCGAGGCTGCAGAGACCGGAAGGATGGGAGACCCCGCAGGGGCCTTTCAGAGTTAGAAATGACAGGTCGCAACATAAAGACGAGAAACAAATTGAATATTAATGGTTGATTTGCTAATTAAACTATCCCAGCTCTAATCTGTTTGCACTTTTAAAGTCCTGTTAATTAATCTATTAGTGTAAATGGATGGGGGGAGGGCAAGCGGTCCCCTGCACTCCCCCTCGACTCGCCCGTGCAAACGTGTTTTGTTTCATGGGCATGCCAAGAGCGCGTGCGCCCTGCTCACATCGCCATATGGAATCGGGCACATTAATCAAGGCAAAGGCCCCGCGTTCCCACGGAACTTTCCCCTCCAGGGGAGCCGCTTGCTGGCTGGCACAGGCCCGGAAACTCATTAGCGCTGCCCCCCAAAACCGACAGTGACAAAAGCAGAAGTCAATGAAACTAGACAGATTGAGGACATCAAATATAACTGGAGGCACATAAAGAAGACTTTATGGAATGCAGCGACTTTGGAAGGACCAGAGGTGCATGAGGGGCTTGTGCACAGGAGCAGAGGCCTGCGGGGGACCTTGAACTCGGACCCTTACAGGGCCTCCCGCTCAGACACCAGGGTGAATGTTGGGGTCCGCACCTGCTCATTTGACAGAAAAGAGGGGTGAAGAAGGTGGAGAGGAACACGGACACTCCCCACACGCCCTGAGTAGGGGGTCTCCCGAACCACCCGGGACTTCCCAACTGTGCATCTCAACACAGGAGACTCGAGGAGGTGTTCTGGAAACGTGGGAAGCGGTACTTTGGGTTGGCACAGGGCATGGGGGTTTGAAACGGTAGGTTTTTATCATATTCAGGCCCGGGGCGGCCAGCAGATCAGGAGACAGGTGCCTTGTGAAGACAGCGTGCATCTCAGACCCCAGGAGCAGGGAGCACACGGCGGCCACGCGAGGAAGCACCAGGAGACAGAGGCGGAAGGGACATGTGGGCACGAGCCTTTGCTGTGGTTGTTTGTGGAAGAACACCTGAGGCAGGGGGAGCAGGTGGAGGTTTGGTATTTAAATAATTTCAACAGCCTCTGGGGCACAGAGGCTGCCCCCAAGGTGCTTGGTCCCCCACCCCGGGGTGATGATGGCCGGGGACAGGATGGCCTACAGAGGAGTGGGGACTTTGGATGGCTGGTTTGCCTATGAAAAGTGAGCTCATGAGCAAATGAATCCTCTACTGTCTCTCAGAATCGGCTAGCCCTTGGGGGACAGTCCCTCCAGGGTCAGTGAGGCTCTAAGATTTCAGAGCATCAGATATAAAGAACACCAAAAGGCATGATTAACAAATGGGGGTGGCACTAATGGGCCTTAGTGGGCAGGCAACCAGGCTGGTGGGGGTCCTACAAAGGGCAGGATGACCCAGCCCAACACAGAACTGCCCTTGACCTGCATTCCAGGAGGCTCGTCCCCAGATAGCCAGTCGAGCTTAGGACAATATAAACCCAAACTCTCTGTGCAGTTTTAATACACGTTGGATTTTCCAGGAACGCAAACACCTTGCAAACCACTGAAAGATGACGGTCTGATGCAGAAGTCCTCAGTGTTTCAGAAAACCCCACCAGCCAGGATACGCCAACTCAGCGTTTTTGCAAACTCGACGCAGCACAACTGTACCAGCTCAGAGAGCTCATAACACACAAATTCGGGACAGATGACTGGAGACCACTTTTCCCAAACATAGAACCAAATATTTTCAAATTAGCAGTGTTTTATGAAATGCACTACATCTAATTAATTAAGGGCTTTTTTGTTTTTTTTTTTTAAACTATGTCATGATAATGGGCATCTGGGTGGCTGAGTCGATTAAGCGTCCAACTGCGGCTCAGGTCATGATCTCACAGTTTGTGGTTCAAGCCCCAAGTCAGGCTCTGTGCTGACAGCTCGGAGTCTGGAGCCTGTTTCAGATTCTGTGTCTCCCTCTATCTCTGCCCCTCCCTGAGTTGTGCTCTCTCTCTCTCTCTTTCAAAATCAAACATTAAAAAAATTTTTTTAACTATGTCATTCTCTACATTAAGTTGTACAGCAAAATAATAAAAAGGATATTTTGTATAAAAATTACACACTGAAGTGATTAATACAGAGGCCTCCTTCGATCTTTTTCTGATGCTGTTTGCAAGTCTCCATCCCTTGGCTCTCTGAAATCCATCTTGCGTTACTGTTCCTGAGCCCGATCCACACTCCATCCTGTCATCTATGAAAGGATATGATTGACCGAAGTCTTCAAAACACTGGGGACCAAATGTAGGCACTGGTAACAGGTGATGGGAGACATATCCTTGGTTATACTTTAAAATTACACGCCCTGTGTTTTAACATGAGGAGTTATCTGACCCCACACTTTTCCTCCTTTAACTAAAACTATTCCCATTCTTCCTTATCATATACAAATAATTCCGATTTGGTCTGAATTACCATATTAGTTTTTATTCCAGTGTGTACACTTATCTCCGTCACATTTTTCCTTTGCTTACGGTGGCACATGGCTTCAATCATTTTCCTTCCCTTAAGTCCAAATTTATTCCGTGAAAAGTAGGTAAAGGCAACTGAGTACCTTACTCTGTGTTCTAATAAAGTCACGTGCAAGCATTAAGAATGTATATATTATTTTCTTACAAATTCCTTTCTTTTTATTTCTTTTGTATTGTAGTTAGGCCATCACATTAATTTTTTGAATCAGTAGGTAATCAGGCCTTATTATCTGTGAATTCCATTTCAAGAAAGCAAAGTATTACAAAATATTGGTCTTAAAAACAATACATCAGGGGTGCCTGGGTGGTTCCGTTGGTTAAGAGACCGACTTCAGCTCAGGTCACAATCTCGCAGTTTGCGAGTTTGAGCCCCGTGTCAGGCTCTGTGCTGACAGTTCGGAGCCTGGAGCCTGCTTCAGAGTCTGTGTCTTCCTCTCTCTCTGCCCCTCCCCTGTTCACTCTCTGTCTCTCTCTCTGTATCAAAATTAAATAAACATTTAAAAAAAAAGTACACTGGGGCAAAGAGCCCCTCGAAGTTGCAATCCCACTTAATGAATCTCAGATCCTAGCAGTCTTTTCTGGCAATTTCGGTTTTTGTTCTTATTGGCAGATTTTATCAAATTTAAAAATAAATACTGTAAATTGTACATCAAACGCATTATTACAATGTAAGGTAAGCAGTGTCAT